ATAATTGCGATGCCGATGCTAAAATGGTAACACTTTCTACAGAATACAGGTTGGTGTAGATAGCAGTTAAAAACGATTGAATAATATATTATCATCTATCAAATGTGGTCGTCATTTTGACTATTTTATTAATTGCAGTCTTACAAAATTATGGTTACTTCAATAATTATTTATTTAAAAAGTGTAACATTGTCAGCCGCCAGAATATACCCGCGTTTACAGATATTGTTATAATGAACCTACTAAGTTAACCGACCCTCGGTCAGACATATAGACCTAACCTTCCCTGAAATTATCCATAACTTTGCCGTGCCTGAATATTTAATGCTGTCACATGCGTTTAAATAATTTGGTGTCAAATGCGGACACGGCATAAAATTAGCGCTTAGTAGCTGTTGGAAGTTGACAACAACTCTATAATAAACTTCCAAACGCTAAAACCTTCTAAACATTTAAAAGAATTCATAGTCTAAAGTGGAAAACGTATAAAATGCAATCTCTCAAAAACGGTTTTCCAGGATTTTATACTTTTTTAAAGTAACATCAGTTAGTGAGTATTCTGAGTATAGTTTAAAGATAATTTCAAAAAATCGCTTAGCATTTAGGCAAATATCTTCAAGTTTTTTAGAATTCGACTTTATTTCTAAGTAACATGCACTTGCTGATATACTAAAAGACATGTTTTAAGCCTACGCCCATTTACCGAGTGCTTTTGAGGTTTTTGTCCTATACATCACTAAATGTGACAAGTGGACGTTGAATTGTCAGTGATATGAAGATCTGCTAAATCAGCAAATCTACGATGTTAAATACTAATAAGTCCATATAAATACGCAGTTGCAAAAATTCTCCTGAGTTCGTTAGGCGTAGGCCAACGTCCATTTATCTGCAGTAGCTTATGGTAGCAACATCTACAAAGTGGCATTTTGCCCACATATTGGAAAGCAAATATCTTCAAACACATTCCCCCACAACGCATTATAGATATTTGTAATAATTTTGAGTAAAAAGCCGTTTTCATTAGCAAAAACAGCTATAATGTCATCTTAATTAGAGCACAATGGAAACAATAGCACCATGTTTTTCGCAACGGCTTTACTTGCTGCAAGGTGCACAATAAATCTTGCGGCTTGGATTGAGTTTGGTCAGCTGTGTCGTCAAACTTGCAGCCGCATCTACTTCGGGCTTTAACAATAAAAATTGTTGAATAAGAAAGTACTTAAACCAAACTGAGAATTCTGCCAGTAATCTTCTCCCCATCGGTGACGTTATAGGGCCTCTACCTAGTACAAAACGCCAAAAAGCCATCAAACATTTATTAGAAATGACACAAAAGCAATTGGTATATGTCTACATAATGAAAATGCAGTCTCCTACACATTCCATGTATTATCACATCCGACCACTGCACCAGAGGTAAATAGCGGACAGTTCAGCCCTTGTAGTTTACTGCCTCAATAACCAACCTATTATCAAAATAAGAAGAGATATAATGCCATACCTTGTAACCAAAACATCTACGTTTACTACTCACAACATAAATTTAAAGCCTTTCAGGTTTCTGAGTCCCATTAAATGCTTAATCATTCTGGCGAAAATAAATGCAAGTCTACTAATTCTGCATGATATAAAAATATTTTGACCAATTTAAACATCTATTTACCTTGATCTAATCAAAACATGCCTCAAAACGTTAATTATTTAGTTACTGCTTTTCGTGAGCCTTCCTGTTCAACATTTATAATTGTTATGAATACTATTAAATAATAAACTTTGCCTTATCGGGTTTGTGACTCCTTTTACATGCCGCCGTCTACGCTTAAGAAATGAAAAGCAAAGGTAAGAGTTCCGAGGTGGTAATCAGAGAAAGAGTTATTTCTTCCAGAAGCAGATTTATGTCTTTGTTGGCATTTTCTTCCAACTTGGTCGGCTTTCCATTTCCAAGGTGTTTCGTGCCAAAAAACGGACTAGATTTTTAGAAGACTGGCCCTTCTGTTTGACCTGTATTTTATCCACGTTTTCGCTGTTTCGCTGCCTGAGCTGTTTGACGGATGTTTGTTGGGCTTGACGTTTGCTTGCTTTACGCGTCGTCACCTCGGTAAGGAGAGCCTAAAATTTTATTTTCCTTTTGAATAGGTTTGTTGCGGAAATTGCAACTACTTCGGGAGAGCTAGAAAAAGCTTACAAACCTGCCAACCTGGCCACAAACTAGTAATTCGAAGGCTGGACCTGAATTTCCAGCTTAAAACACATGTTTGAAGGACTGCCTACACTTGTCAGCTTTCCAGAGAAACCAAGAATAAAACAGCCAACACTTGAGGCGTGCCATTCAGTTGCCAACTCTACCAACAGGCATACAGGCCTTCCTCTAGTTTATAAAGTCCAGCTTCACCGCATACATACGGCGAGGACAAGATCACCCAGTCGAGCGTAGGAATATCGAGCGGACACATCCTCATGACAAACTCATTCAAACAGAAGACAAATTTTCAGGCTCCTTCAGTCGAGGTGACGACGCGTAATGCCAGCAGCCATCATGCCTACAAACATCTGACAAACGGCTGAAGGAAAAATAGGTTAGTTCAAGGTTGACTGGCGAGGCCAGTTCTTTAAAATTCTAGTCACTTTTGACAGGGAAAGGATTACAATAAGTAAATGCAATCTGAGAAGAATCTGCTCATTAAACAGATTTGTTTTCTTGTTGACGCTTTTTGACAGCTCGCGAAGCATTTTGCAAGGAAGATTAATTTCAGAATTAGTCATCAACCTTGAAAAGTGCAATGGAGTGTAATGGTGAGAGTTTTGAAGCAATATAGCAATCATCTTCATTGAATCAAGTCATATTGCCTTTTGGAATCAACGTAATTATTGAGGTTTAAAGTGCAAAGTAAAAGAAGCCAAACGGAGGTCGACGTTAATAATTTTGTACTGACAGTGTGTTACACTATGCTTCCAAATTCGCAACTTTGATTTTGAACGTAAATGTTGCCTCAGTTTCCAAATGAATTCTCGGAAAAAGACTTCTTTTAAAATTAAACACTTCATGTCCATATACATTTTACACGTTTTAGTGAAACTTGATCTTTAAGACTTTTATAGGCTAATACACAACATCAATCTTGTGTCTGTTATCTCAGTTCTTTTACGTCCAGAAATTATTTTACCGCAGCATTTATATTGTTTTCAAATAGGACACCGCCGAAAGATTACTAAGAAAATTGCTTCGCTATTTCAGTCTTTGTGGAAGTAATTAAGGTAATGCTTTAAGAAAGTTATCAACAGCTCCTCTTCTTCTAGTATAATATTATAAACTAGAAAAAAATGTTTCTTTGATTTAAGTGCTCTGCAAGTTTGCGGCAGCAGACTAAACACTTCAGTTTTAGTTCTAGAAGTAAGTATTGTTATTTAAACTCCGGAGAACGTTTTTTAGAGATTTTTAGAATTCCGCATTTGTCTGTGAGCATACTTTTTTATTCTTTCGGAGTAAACAGAGTCAAAACGTTTTAGTCGAAGACAAATATTTTCTTCTAAAATGCGTCATAGGTAGCAATTAGGGCTTTTAACGGAACATCGGAATTTGTAATAACTATGAGCTTTCACATTTTGACGGTTTTGTCTAGTGAGCAAAAGTAAAAATTCGTCAGAATTAAAAATGAGCTGATGATTCTTAAAGCGATGGTTTCGATAACTACGTTTTTAATAATGAATGTTTCTGGGATTGGGGTTTGTAGGTTTACTTGTGTTCAGTGAAAACACTGATAAATGAACTGATTTATATCACTATAGTCGTATAAAGCTTTACGCCCACTTTTTCCGTTATCACCACTCTCATTTTAAAGTATGCTTTATGGCCCAAATGATGTCATTATGTTCACCTCCCGCAAAAGTGCTGGCGTGTTCTCGTTTAGAAATTCAACCCGCATGCATATTTACCGACTTAAGAGTTTCATTCTGAAGGTTTTGGCTATTTTCGCTGCCACTTCGGAGCTGTAAATTTGTTTAAGTTGATATTGGAAGCATAATTTCTACAGTGATGCAGAGGAAATTTAGGTTTTAAGTCAGATAAATTTGAAATAAGAGGTTTAGGTAACTAGAATTTGATGCGGCTGTCAATCCAACAACAATTACAGACATTCTGTAAATATCAGTCTTGATTCGTGCCTTCCAACAAATCGTGCGTCTATTTAAATGAGATTAGCTGGCATTTAATTACAACAACTGATGCTTTACATATGTAAAAAATGTTTCTTTTTTTCGTGATCTATTCCATAAGGGGTTCCCCATTAAATATCCTGCTAATCTTGTTTATTCCTCGTGTTCAGTTTTGCTTTAAATTATGCAGACTTTCTAATGAGAACCTGCATTAAAAATTGCTTTTGCGTGCTTATTACTGCAATTCGCGTCAATACTTTAGTCGACAATTCAAAATTGCGGTGTTTTTAAAGGTGAATGCAGTGATTCGTTTCATGTGTTTATGGCTTTTTAGTGAGAGGTTGATTTTGAAAAACATAATCGGCCTTACTGGGTAATGCTTTTAATACCTTGGTCTAAAGGCTCAGCGTCTGTGGAATACTGAAAAACTTATAAGATTCCTTTCGGAATGCTTTATTGCCATGGGCCAGTCTTTGCCTATTATATTCTTAAATCTTTTACACTTACTGACAAAGACATTTTTAGTTGCAACTGTTATTTTCTGTATTTTCGCCCATTGTTGCGCAATTAAATTATTTTTCAAATTTTATATCCCTCCGTTTTCTGTTTGTAGTCTTAAAGAACATTATTTACTTGTTCGTTTTGAAATCCATTTCTTAACATAAAAAAGAACATAATATGAAAAAGATTTTCCAATCTCAAACATTTATTCTCATCATTTCTTTTCAGAATCAGCAAGGAATACAAAAGTTGGTTGTCATAATTAGGGTAAGTAGCGAAAGTTTTTTCAAAGTACTTGAGGACAGTCTATATACGAGACAGACAGAGCAATCCGTATTCTGCACCCTTCACTTAGATGTCGTCAGGGGTGATTGCCAGTTCTCTGCTAGCTCGGAAACCGGGAGACCAGTAGACGCTTGATACTTGTGTACATCTCCATGCGTGGATACAGCTGAATGGTAGGTTTGGCGCAGCCGTGAACGCTGACAGTTTAGTTGATATCGCTTTACACACGGAAGACATCCAAATGCATTCAGGAAGCCATTCTTAAACCTTCAGGATAAAAAACATTTTAGACATAAAATATTTGAGAGCATTACATACCTACTGCGTGCATTAATGCATAAAGGCTTAAGTGCCTCGTTTTTTGTCTCAAACTGCTGCACTTTATTCACGTTATTTTTGCGCTGCTCACAGCATTTTATTATTTTTATTATTAATAATAACATTTTAATGCCTAAGACATATTATTAAATGTCCGAGGCATTAGACTATGCATCGAAATAGCGCATGGCACTAAGTAGAGTAGCAATGTCTAAGTGGAAGCGTTAAGATAAACAGTTTAAATTTAATTCGAGGAGATAGTGTATAATTACATTTTCATTACGACGAGCAACAATTATGGCGCAAATATTCTGCCGACAAGGTGTCAAATACTTTTTATATGATAATATTGCAAAACTGACCAACACCAAAAGTATAATATGTGCTATAAAAACAGAAAAGGGTCACTGAAATAGATTATTGTCTGTCTGTTCTACAGCGCGTTTACAAAACGGTTAGGGATAATCACCCTCAGCTTTCCGGTAGATTTATCTTAAAGCTAATTTTAGAAATAAACTTTCTAATTCTTCAAAGATGTTGGATTTTGCATGCAGTCCTTTTTCATCTTTTTCGGCTTCGAAAACAATTTACTTTCGTCTTTCTCTAAAATCAAGGCTTTTGAGTTTTTCGAAGTTTTATAGATACGCAAAATGTTACTCACCGGTGGTTCATTGTGCAGTAAATAATTGGATTGTACATGCTGTTGCTCATGGCAAGAACGTAGCAGAAAATGAATATTGAAGGCAAACTTGGATGCTCGTGATCGATTGGTGCGCGGAGGATAAGAAAAAATAATTGGTAGGGTAGCCAGCAAACTGCGAATATAAGCATCACGGCGATCAACATTTTTACAACCTTTTAAATGAAAAAATGTCGTAATTAGTAAGTCTAATGTTACTGTTAAATAATGTTTAATGACGTCTACAGTTACGTGTAAATCTGCTCTACCACAAGTGTGCTAACAAATCAGTGGACCTTGCCAGACCAGATAGAGCGCATTGTTTTTAGTTATGGCAAAAAACCACGACTTCTTTTCCATTTGGAGTTGCAAATTGAAGGGCCAAACTAATCATGTTTAACTATCGATATATGAAAGCGTGCGATAAGCATTACCAAACATGCGAATAAACTATATTTTTTGAGTGCGGAGAGTGCATATAAGTTTTACGTATACTCACAGAGCTCATTATCCTGTCTATTTTCATAAGGACAGTCTGATAATTTGAAATTACGTCCTTTTGACCATATAGTGTAACTGTCAAAGGCCACCACTTCAGCCGACTAAGATGTATTCAAATTTTAGACAGAGGAATCTTCATACGTTTACTTTAATCGAGTAATTAGAAATTACTTTCAAATTTTCAACGGTCAACTGGTATTTGATGTCAAGTCCACTGTCTTTTTCAAAACGATACAGTTAAACAAATCCTTCATCTTACAGCTAAGGAGATATATCTTTCTTAAATCTACCGAACTACTGTAATTAAAAGCAGTTGAAATCATCAGGAATATTTTTTCCGAATTAAGTCAGAACCTCTGGATCCTCAGATATGCCATTGTTAAGCTGTGAACAGTTAGTATTACTCGACTGCATTATGTCTGAGAAGTTCTGTTTAATAAAGCTCACATAATAAACCATAAATTTTCCTCGACAATAATGTTCGATTTGGAAGAAAATAGCTATAGGCCTTTGGCTATATGCACAAATGTTTCACTTTTTAGTGTAATTTCGTGGGCATTATTAGTTCCTTCAATATTAAAAGGCGAAATGCATGCTTACCTTTCGTTTGGATTTTATGTTTTCACGTTGACCATGTGTTACTTCACCTAGACCTCGGTGCGCCCATAATTTTATGGTTATCGGGATGTAGGTTGCGAATAGAATCAGGAGAGGTAAAATGTACATCAATAGAAAAAGTGCAATATCGTACCTAAAGAAGAAATGAAACATGGTTATAGTGTTGAGTGAATTAGTAAAATTCAGTTAGTACATTCGCATAAGTTCAGCGATATTATAATGACATTATATAAAGAAACTTTTCTGCCACGTCTACTTTAGTAAAAGTGCTGAGCTATCATATTCTCAGCCTCCCCAATCGCAATTGCTAGAATATTTCTATTTTTTGTCGAAAGCAAAAGCAAGTCTTTGTCAAAGTAGTCAATTATAGAACTACGCAACTTACGCTGCTCCCCAAAACGGCGACCAGTCGAACGTGCAGACGTGACAATAACTCTCTGCTTGGGAGTCAAAAGATGTTTCTGATGTGTTTTCTGGCATCGAAAAGTTATTTCTTTCTCCTGCCCAAACTTCCTTTGAAAAATTTCGGTGTAGGGCTTGCTCGAACGTTGGTGCACTCGTGTCGTTGGTAGAAGTTGACTTATAGCTACCATATACGGTCTCCCTCCGCCTGATAAAAATAGTAGCCTTTAGCAATCCTGGGAGACCAATGACGAAGGAAGAGACCCAAATAAAAGCAATAACACACAGTATTGTCGACGGTCGAGAGCGTGGTCGAAGTGGATACTTAATTGCAACGTATCTAAAAATAACAAATAATTAAGTCATCGGGGTTTGCTACGGGGATTCTTCTGTCATATGAATCGGGATTATTTTAAAGCATCAGATTTACCAAGTGGGCAACATGAACCATTTTTAATGTTTGATTAAACTTTTAGAAGCACCTACATCATTGTGAACACATTATAATTTATATGTTTAATCATATAGGGGACATTTACTAAGCCCTTAATATCCGGCTGCCCTTCAGTTACAAAGATATTATAGTAAATTATCAAGTAGTGAAACATTTTAGCAAGCTTGCTTTCCGAGTTAAATACTCCTAATAAAAACCATAAACTCTCTAATGCTACTTTTAATATAGACTGTGTCCAACAGAATACTTTAGCGCTGGGTGTAAACCTTAAATCCAGCTTATTGCAGTCCTTCAGTCTGAAGTACTTTCTAAAACTTACATTGTCGCTTGTTTCGGCCGATATGCATTCACAAATATTTCCATACTTGAAAACTGCTTCTACGCATTTTTAGTCTGTGCGCTACGTTTCACAATTTGATTGTTACAACAAGCAAACAAAACGTGAAGACTTTATGCTGATTGTCAAAGTAAGTACAGGTGGAAGCCAAAGAATTTTATTGGTTGCCGAGGAATAATGCCCATATTCAAACTTACGTGCAGAAAATATTCTTTATAGCAATGCAAAGTGTAAAATAAAAACAAAAGAAAAATTCAAATGTATCTTATGGAGGGATTAAACCTTTTAAATAGGAAGTACAATGTGTCCCCATTGTTTAAAACCATGCAATTATTTATTTACTTTTCAAGACGCAATGATTTTAGAGGCACTTATCGCAAACTAGTGAGTCGTTCTTAACAAACTATTGTCTAGAATAAAAGCCTTAAATACAAACGGTAGAAAAGTGTTCATTCTAAATTTCCTCTTACCTGTCAGCAGTTAGTCCAGTAAAAGTCAACACGCTTATGGCGATAGAAAAGGCCGTAAAGAACTGCGAAAATTTGCAGTATGCCAATCCAAAGATCCAGTCGTTGAGCAACACATTGTAAATATTTGGGATTATTTGGAACACTGTAAGCATATCACTTACAGACAGATTCACAAGGAAATAGTTAGTCACCGTCCGCATTCTTCTTGTGGTTAAAACGATCCAAATGACGATTCCGTTGCCAAGAACTGTCATAACTGATATAATGGAAAATATCAGTATTATTGCTACACAAGCTGCTGTAGAGAAAGGCGGAGGTTCGCAGCCATCGCTGGCAATAACGGGGTGTTCTTGAGATGACATACTCGCATGAAAACGTTTCCTTAATGCACAGAGTAAAAATCACATTTGCTACTTTGGTTAATTCAGTAAATAAGAGAGAATTCTAATTGGACAACAGTGAGCCAATCGCGTAAGTCTGTTGGACAGGCGGCTTTGGTAGCACATCATGAGCTCAAGCGCAAGCACAGATACATGACTAATGCTGCTTACATCTGCCTTATTAAGGATCATTTTAAAAACGCGCTACACGATCCTTGTTTTTGTTCTCTGTATCATCCTGCTGCTCCGAAACGGGACGTGTTAAGCATTTTGGATGATTTGTCAGCCTTCGAGTACAAGTGTTAACTTCAAAAAAGTTGACATAAAAATGGATTTCTTATTTTCTAACCAAGAACAGGGTACACAGCGTTCTTCTCCCCACAGAAATAAGATAGCCCCATTAGGACCGCGAATATATTGCTTATTCTTTGGTTACGCAATCGCCTTTGAGGATATCATTTAAGCCGGCACAAAAACACCAAATTCAAAATCAAAAAATGCCTATTCCACAGGCCTTAGCGTCTCTTTCCTTCATCATATTTGAAAGCTAAGTATTTTGTAATTTTCAGGGAGAAGGTATTTTATAATTTTTTGGTAATTTACATTCAAGCAAAAAAACCAATTTCCTAGATAGGGCTTTGAGCATACGTTGCAGATGATGTTTTTGTTTATAATAAATTTCTTTTATAGCATGATATTAATTATCTAGGTACAGGTGGGTAACTATCATTCGGATGTTGGAGATGAAAGGTGGGGTGAGTTGAAATCCTCTCTTGAGTATGTTGAAAGAGTCTTTCTGATAGTCACGGTATTGAACCCAGCGTGTTTTTGTAGGAATGTTGGAGATAATAACGTAGCTCTCACGTTCTCGCTGGAACCTTAAAAAAGGTCCGCGTTTAGCCCACCAGTAGCTTCATTAGGGGTCTCATTTGACTCCCTCTATATAACTGTTTCCATCCATTGACCGATAAAACTCTTAATTAACGCGCTTTTCTTTTCAATGAGTGTCTCATTCTTAAGAGATAGGAAGACAGGTTGGAAGCTAAATCCAGATGACTTTCAAATAACAACAAGTGTTTCATGGTTGTAACATTTCCACCTTGGGAGTTTTAAACTAGCCAAATGGGGCTAAAACAGTAGTAGACTGACGCATAAACGCCAAGTGATTCGTGGTTTGAGGCCTAAGAAAATGGTATTTAGTTAGCTGTGGAACAGTCAGGAATGGAAGTTTGAATGTTGATTTATTTCCACATTTCACAGGCGTGATTTCGATATTTTTTGAATAAATCCCGGAGAGCATATTTCGGGGATAATAAAATGAATGCCTTTTCTCTATAAATGCGTTTGAACCAAGAAAATAGCTTAATTTTTATAGTGAAATCTGTTTTACCTTGAATTATGAAAATTTCATAGCCTGCAAAATGTTTGGTAGCATATTGAACTGATCTTCTACTTCGAGTACACTTTCTGCGGACGTAGAGGTAACTGAAAATATGACTTGATTTTATCTGTCAACGAAAGTACCTAGCCCTGTCTCTCTGTCAGTGTAGTTTTTTATATCACGCCTGATGCTTAACACGTGCACAAGACCGAGTGTGAGTCACCAGTTACAAACTAATTAGTCTACAGGATGAAGACCACTTTGGCATTTCAAGTAACTATTAGGATTATGTTTTGCCTTGCACCTCTGTCAACTACTGATTACAACGATTTGGACAGATTGTTGTTTTTGTAGGGAAGACGTGTCAAGTTTATCTTCTTTCTTCGTAGTACAAATAAACAAAACTACCTTAAGTCAGTACAACCAATGACAATTCACGCGAAAATTTACAACAGCCATTTGATGCCTTACTGTAGGAAATGATCGTTCTCACAATGTCTGCAACATATCTTAATAAAGTTTTGTTTTCAGAATATTTTTGCTGACCAAAAACAGTGTCAGCTTAATGTGCTTTCATTAGCCCGACAAGTGCAATGCAGGTAGAAAGTTGGAACATAATTTCATTTTGGGACACCAGCAATTCTAATGGTCAAATATTTTGCAAAGTTTGACAAGGACCAACTGTGTTCGGATGAAAATACATCACCAGGATTACCTTGGTATGACTTATGTGCTAGAGGTCATCAAGATAATTTCTTCAGTTTTTTGATTACAGCTTCTGGAGTGGTAAACAATGGTTCGCCCGCACATGCACCCATATATCCGGATTGGCGAAAATCGTAACCTTGTTAAATATATTTTATAGAAGGCATGCAAAAATATTTCTTTCTTTGTCTACAAGATAGCAACTTACGTCTTTTTTGAATGCTAGATTGAAAAAGTGCCTTTTGGTTTGAAAAACGTTTCTGATTATGACCTACCTCTAAATTGGGAAATTTGCGATCGTACAGCATGGCATTAATATATTTATTGATACTTCTTATACAGTTGACAGCGTGCTCTTAATTCATAGGTTAAATTTATGAGCCCATATGCCCTTTTCTAGAAAACGTATGGACATGTATAAGGTTTTTTACACGGAAAATACACAGCTAATTGTTTAAAAACCCGAATGCACGTGTACCGCAGGTTTCGGTTCAGAATTATTCAGAAATAATGGGCATTTTTCAAACCAAACTATACTCCTCCTTACAGTGTAAAGTGTGCTAACAAATGACTATAAGAAGGAATATTTTATGCATACTTCCTACAAAATATACTCGAACTTATAAGGGTATCGGAAATAAACGCGAAAAATTCGTACTACTTGAGCGTTCATTTTTACGGAATCTGATCTGTGCAAGCGGTCAATATGAAGCCCAGTCAACGGCTGACATCCTGACGTGACCGGAATATCTAAACATTATGCGACATCAAAATTAGTACAAAAACGCTGCTTAAGGGAACTTGTCGGACTGAAAACACATTTAAAGATTTCAATCAACATTTTGTGAGATAGCATATCTGATGCAAATATATATATATATGTGCATTGTCTGATAATGTTGGATTTCATAGGTACCAGTGCCGCACTGAAGCAGCCTAGTTTCACATATATGCAACATAAAATATACGCATCTCACATTTTTGGAGGCGGGCAATTCGCTGGATAATTTTACAGACTTTATTTTGTGTACCATTTACACCCACAACCGTCCTTAGGAGTGTAATTACTTTGAAAACAGTTCGAATTTAAACATACCCAAAAACTAATATTGTTTTGTCGTTGCTGCCCGTGGATAGATGCCGTGGTTTGGCATCATGTTTTGATTGGCCATCCTTTTTTCCATTTGATGTGTGAATCCTCCGAGTATAATGCCTTCAGGAATTCTCGCTCATTCGTATATGCGCAGAAGCTGACAGTGTGGCCTGTTTCCAGTGTATGCATGATGACCTAAGATAGATGGTTTCGCCTCTCTACTGCCAAAAGGGGCTCAAGTAGGCGGAGCGCGGTTGGTTTTCCAATTTTACCCGAATACCTTTCATTGCAGGTGTCAAATGTAATCTTGCAGAAGACTTCCAGTTTATCCATATAATCAACCGTGTACCAGCCGGTTGCGTAGTATTTGTCAGTTTATGCGTCACTTGTATTAAATACCTTATCAGCTGTGTTATATGCTTCATATAAGTATATGCTAGTTCAACTTTGCATTATGTATTAAGATAGGCAAGAAATAGACTAGATCACCGAAGCTGAATTTTCTAAATACTCTTATTGCAAATCAAAGGCAGGCGTCTCAATCAATAAAAAGAACGAGGACCAGTATCAAACATAGAGGCCGGAAAAGGGCCGTTATCAGGAAATCTGTAGGCACCCTTCATATTTTGCACGCGAGCGCAGGTATCGAATTCCGCAATAGGGATAGCGAAAATATTTGAGGCGCAGTTTTCAACATTAAATTGATACACCACGTAAGCCAGAACCAAAAGCCGAAAGCGTTAATGTCCTCTGACATTCGCGAAGGTTCATAATTATACAATCGGGCATTCGTTGTTTTCGTGATTTGATTTAGAAAGCCGTCAAACAGTGAAAGTTTATAGGTCTGTGACTGTCTGCGAGGTTTTTGCTCTAAAGATCTGGAGCGAAACGAAGGCAAGTATGCTCTGTATTTCGACCATTCCGATAAAGGCCTCATTTTTATTTATAAGCCATCCTGATCGAAAACTGTGCCAATGACAGTTCTATCGTCGTTGCCGACGATGTCCACAGTGTGCCCCACAGCACGATGGAGCACGGACGGTGACCTGCGCGTGAATTATTTTATAGTGACAATTGACTTGCGCTGCACCTACAACACTCTCTATTCACTGCCCACCTGAACCCGGTGTCAAGAAGTAGTTAAGAAGATTGGGGTCGACGGAGTTCGCAAGTGGATGGCACGGTCAAGCCCGCACCTTGGCACTTCACTCCACACTCCCTGGTCCACAAAACGAATAACCAGATTTATGTTCACCGGCAACAAATAATGGAGACTGGCACGGTCAAAGCCGCACCTAGACGTACTGCCACACACACAACTCAGATCCCACGGAGTGGGAGTGCTATAAAGGCCACATTAACAAGAAACCATTGCTGCTCCACACGCAAGCACACAACGCTGGGCCGACAGCGAGGTCCAAATTATCCAGTCAGTTGGCAACCTCCCAAGCCACGGCTTTAAGCGCACCGTGATAGCTTCAAACGCGTCAGATTGTTTACAGTGAGGAAAGTGCGCTGAGCCGTCGACCTCACTCTCCCTTCCCACTACCAGGCCCCAGCCACTGTCCGAGCCGGTAAGTTGACGGATGAGGG